TTTCCAACTTGTTGGATACGTGCCACTATCCAAAATAAAATTGAATAATTTTTGTATACATGGAATTAACAGACTATTTTTTGTTTTTAACATTTCATTTGAAATACTGTCTTCTGCTGTTGATTTTTTGTTTTTCAAATTTTTAATAGCCTTTTTAATTTCATTATATGAAATAACATTGTTTAACTCATGGTTAGATAATTTTGTATCTTCTAATAATTTTAGTGATTGCTTAAAAACAGTATTAGTGTTATTATTGTTATATAATTTGCTGAAATGATCTAGCCACTATATAGTCTGCGCATCATTGCGCCTGCAAACAACCTTACTGATATAGAACAGTAACGTCTCAATTTGTAAACTTAGAATTTATTTTTTCCGCTTTCTGTTTTCCCAGTTCAAATGTGTTCCACATTTTAGAAGATGTGTCCTCTTTTGCAGTGTTTATTTTTTTCTACTTTTTCCCTCATTACCGATTACTCGCGTGTGTTGTTAAACTGTACATATGTGCAAATATTTATATATAAATTAACTGTAAACCACACCCATGCAGAAATGGGTGACTGTGTTTCAATAAAATAAAAATACTAAATACTGGACACCAGCTTGCAGCAATACATGGTCAATCTCAGCTACAATAATGTGTTAATTAGTGGTGGAATCCCACGTTGTGTAACATTGGTATTGTGTGTCGGTGACCTCCATACGGGTAGCCAAGTACAAGTAGTAAGTACTTCGCGCAGCGTAACACAATGTAAGATTGTTACGTTTGCTCGTACACAATTATGTCGCAGACACATTTGTATTGCAAATCATTGTTGTTGCCATATTCAATCAAAGTTCATCTATTTTTAATAAATGTCTGTTAATGTTGTTTGGACGGGGGGGGGGGGGCTTTCTGTTGTGTATGTACCAACTGAATTGTTTTAGCTTATTTTGTATGTGTTATTTTGGACTTTACACTAGCTCTGTGGTGTGTCCGTGCCAAATAAAATATCCTATCCTATTCTACCAATTAGCGCACTATTATCGATCATTTGAATATCAAACACTGCGCCTGACAGAGGTAAAACCATAGACCTTAGAATTCTAAGGTCTATGGTAAAACGTTATGCTGATAAAGTGCCAAACTGAGACGTAGTTACGGTGTAGATTCATGCGCTCATTTCCTTCTTTGTCCAATTCTAGGTTCGCGGTGAACGTCAAGTTGATGGTTGTCTTCTTATTGTATTCAGATGAGTACTGGTTCAATCGAGAGGTCACTGCAAAGGTATCACAAACAATACTTTACAGTAATACTGGGCCGTAAGTCGTTAGTTTTACTTTGTGTGCAAGTACATGCACGATTGGGACAAACGAAGACAAAGCGTGTTTTGCCTTATCATGAACGTACTAATAATTAGTACATCCATGGTGTTGCTCCATTTCTTCTCCTCCGTAGAAAACAATGAGATTTGTTGCGCGATTAACCGCCACGTGGGTATGTACGGCGGTGTGTCTATCACGTGACTGAATTGTAACCAATCATTGGAAGAATCATATGAGACCATGTGTGACGTCGTTGTAAACATCATTATGTATCGCGTGACCTCGACATGTAGGGCATAATGTGTGATTTTTCTGTTTAAATTTCAGCCCTATAACAACCGGATGTGATCACCGAGATCACTTCCAAGTATAATTTGGGAATATATTAGAAGATCCTTTGGGGAAAAAATGAATTTATCATTAGCTGGTTGTGGTTTTCTAGGAATTTATCATGTCGGTGTGGCGAGCTGCTTCAAAGAACATGTTCCCGGTCTTGTCGGCAAAATCGCCGGTGCATCTGCTGGTGCATTAGCCGGATGTACACTTGTATGTGATGTTGGACTCGGTAAGTGGACTGTGGTATAAATAACGTGATTTATCTAATTATGTGGTTGCCAATAAGCGGTAATGCACACAACAATCGTCATGACAGTGACTTTACCACCATTTTGGCAAGTGACCAGGCATTTTAGTTCATCGTTAACCCATGGATATCCATGGTTAACCTATCCTTTCTATTTACGCCCTTTGACCTCTTGAATGCATATTTCCCCCACCATTATTTTTTTATATATATTTTTAGATTTATTTTTACGTCTCCCCGTATCATACATAATAATTTAATTGTGCACTGAAGCGTTCCAGGTAAACAAAACACACCTTGTCCTTAGCAAATCGGCTACAGCTTCTTGAACCGGGACTCCGTTCGTATTTCCATTTATATGTATATCCTTTTTTATCTCCTTGGCATTACTAAGTAATTTATTATTGATTGTGGGCGCGTTGTAGGTGGAGTCATCTTGCATCCAATAAGCGCCTAGTGATCTAACGTCGCACCTTGTCGATCTAAACGAAAACGTCCGTGTGCCATCTCATGAACTAAAATTGTCGCTTTTATTCGAAGTTATGGGAAATATGTTGAAACGACAAATGTATAATTATATGCAGATAAAATTACTTTGTACATATATGACTGCAAATATTATGATTAATATCAAGCGGAGTCGTGTGCCGGTAATATCACGTGACCTATTCTACCCAATCATCCTCAAGGTTGTGGAGGTCGTACATGACGTAGATGTAAACACTGGTTTGTGATTGTCGTTTTTTTTTAACTCGTGTAAAATGTGCTCATTTTTTACCCGGTCCATCGGCCGCTAATACTGGTGGCCATAATATCTTACATTTGAAGCATATTTCCTGGCTGGTCAAAGAACATGAATCTGTCGTTTTCAGGCTGTGGTTTTCTTGGTATATATCATTTGGGGGTGGGGAGTTGTATAAAAACACACGCTTCTGAATTGATGGTTGGTGCTCGTATCGCCGGGGCTTCTGCCGGGGCCATATTTGGTTGTCTTCTTGTATGCGACGTTGGATTAGGTGAGTCTTCTATTGATAATTTCGTATTGCGGTAATAGTTATTTTGGTTTGAATATTAAGCACCATATAATATTTCTACTACACAGTTATTAATTAATAATTATTTATTTATCGGGCAGACGTGATCGTGAGTTGGTAAAGCGGTTTTTATGTTCATTCCCTAATGGTACAAAGTTTTCCAGAGAACTGACCGAGTAGTTCTTCTAAATTGCCAGTTGTATTTTTTTTTGGGGACATTCTGAATATCTATAAGGCTGACATTTAATGCATTATTTAATCTGTGGAGTATCAGTAGAAGGCATTTACAAAATGAAAAAAAAATGCATTACAATATAGTTCATTTTGAAAAAAATACTGGTACTCCAAACTCAGTTTTTTCTATCTATCGATTTTACATGTAAATAGTTAGCACTATTAACTGTTTTAGGACGTTTCTCAACTTTCGTAGTTAGGCAGTTAATTTGCATAATTTCACAACTTCTCATCACCAGGCAACACATTGCGATTTATTTGAATTAATAATTGACTTATTCCAATCATTGGATATTCACTGAAACATCAATATTTGATTGGAACATGGAGCTCTATGGTTGGAACCCGGGGTTGGAATTGATATTGTAACTGGCAGGAAGCCAAGTAAATACAGTCACATGATGTAGGCATGTGATGTACTTTACTTAAATAGGGCAGTTACTGTGAATACAAAAGGTCACTTGTCCTTGATAATAAATTGCCTGCCCATATGGAATTCCAAGTACTGAAAATTTGTGTGTTTTCTATATAATTTTTTTAAAACTGTAAGTCAAAGTAACAGTTATAGCAAATTGTTCATGTAAAGTTAATTACTTAGTGTTGCATTGCATTTTGAGGTGCGTCACAAGTTAGTAATAGTAGTAGTAGCGTGATATTCAGGTTACCTACAAAGAATGGGTCGGTCAGTTAGATTGTGTACTTTTGTGTACTCAATAACCTTTTCACTTGTGACCTACATATGGTAATATAGAATGTTGGGTGTTACAGTTTGGGTCGTTGGGTTAAGAAGAAGAATTTTTTATATGAAATGATTTTGGTTTTTAGCATAATGCTTTTGTCTCACATTCAATGAAGCAGTATATTTTTTATATGCTTGTACAAGCAGGCTTTCTACACAAGTTTTCAGACTGTAATTTTTTAATTTTAAAAGTTTTTAATGAATTATATATGCTCTTGTTCTGTGTAACTTTAATGGAAACCATCATTTCTCTTATAGTACATTTCACTGATCAGAGTACTTTCAAAATAGCAGATTTTTAATGGAGATTTGTAAAATTTAGACATTTATTTGAAAATTAGGGGCAGTCTCACATTATTGCATAAATATTCAAATTACCTCAAAGAGCTCCATTCTAAAAAATGAATGTTCAAAAATGTTATCATGATGGACACAGGTAATCTAAATGATAGTAGCTACTATTGTGTTACTATTTTGTCTACTCAAATCAAAGGTCCTCACAAGCTGAAAAAGACTAATAGTTCACTTATGTTGGATAAGTGTATTATTATTACTAATGTCTGGTTTTACCATCATGGAACTTGAGTACTAAAATAAAGTAAAGAACAATAGCAGAGTGACTGAGAAAAGACTATAAAGCTGTTGCATGTTGGGAATGATTTTTTCTTCACTTTTAGCTGTATTCCTCATAAATTATAATGCTAGAGTCAGCAGCAGGAATTACTTTTAATATTCAAATAAGAGAGACGTCAAAATTGTTTATGGCTTCGTGCCAAATGTATCTCCTCATACATATCTAGGATTAAAAATGTCAGACATAGCTCATTCTACTCAGCTTGACCACGGACAAAGTTACTTCTTATTTGTTTTTTTTGATATCTTTTTTCATTACCAAAAAATTTGACCTCAAAGTTGGGTAATTTTTCATCAGGAATGGCTTTTTAACTCTTCTGTGATTTTTTTGGCTGGGCTGATTTTGTTCAAACTTAGTAGGCTGGTCATACCTTCACTGTAGTTGGGTGGTAAAATCAAACGGAAAAAATCCTGGCCCATTGTTGTCATGGCAACAGCCAAAAAACAAATATTTTTGAATTCTATTGCACAAAATGTGTCATCTCTTACCAGTCTTTTTTAATATCAGTGTTCAAATGATCATGCTTTTGATTCTGGTTAAGTTGCACACTGACGAGAGACCACTGACGTCGACATTGTTATACTGTATAAACATGAACTTTGACTGAATGCTGCGTTCAATCTAATAATCTAGCAAATGCAATCGCAAAACATTCGGAAATAAAGTGTTTGTCTTCCTACCGAAATCTTGGGTAAAGGGTCAATTGCGTGAATATTAAAACATAAGAAATAATATAATAACATAGTAATAAAGTGAAGTGACTTTGGAAGATGCTTAATGCTCATTGTGAACTTCTTATTTAGGCACCGGTTTTACTCATTTTAGGTTCACATTCATGTCTTATACCATGGCACCATCCGAAAACATGTTTGTTTTTTGAGCATAGCAGGTGCCAATCATCCTACGAGCTTGTTTCATTTGATTTTCTATTTGCATGTTATATCTAGTCTGTAAAGTATGCATTGTAAATCAATACGTAAAAAAACAAAAACAGCTAGTGACAGGTTATTGTACTTTTATACACCAATAACCATTAAACTGTGACTGTTAACATTGTACACAGTGGTTATATGTAAATGCATTGTTAATACATGTCATCATTCTCTCAATCGTTTGTTGAATCAAAAATAATGTAATATTTCTTTTTTTGTCAAAAGTGTGTACCCTTTTCTATAACTTTACAACAAAATGAAAAAAAAATTATTATGATTATGGTTAAAGTACAAAAAATGAAGAGCTGTTATTGGAATAAAAACAACTCTGTGATGACAAATGTATGTCTGCTCTTTGCAGTTCTTAATAAAATTTTATGTTTATTTGAAAACATGTCTGAAATATCAATGGTGACAGAGCCTTTCATACTGGAATTGTTTATACGTGTGGTGTTTTTGAAAGTTATTCAAAAATCCTTTCTAGAACCTCGTCTATTTTTCTTGAACCAACGAAGAAATGAAATTTACTATTGGACAATTTATAATAACATTTGTATGCATTGAATTATTCAGGTGAATGTACAGAAGATGTACTTGAAATTGTTATGAGAGCACGTTCACATACACTAGGACCCCTGCATCCAAGTTTTAATGTTACTAAGATTGTACAAGATGGTCTACGAAAAGTACTACCTCCAGATGCTCATAAATGTGCCAGCGGCCGTTTATTTGTATCGCTGACAAGACTTTCAGATGGTGCCAATGTTATGATTTCACAGTTTGATAGCAGGGAGGACCTTATACAGGTATGATCAGTTCAAAATGATCAGTTTTTGCTGCCGCTGTTTTATCTTCATGTGCATAGTGTAATTAATGTATCTACCATTTGATACCTTGAACAAAAAGCACAGAAAAATGCAAGTGGCTATCTTTCATTGACTGTTGCTTTATAATGAATTGATAAAAGGATTTAATGAATTTTTTGTTTGCCCATCAATAGATGTTTTAATTACCAGCATTGTTTTATTTTAATTGAACCACCTGTGACCATGAATTCATTTATTTAACTTTCTAAGTTTACAAACTTGGCTTTCTGGATATTATTTTATACAAAATGTATCATTACATGTGGTACTTGACATTTCATGAAACCACTCTCTGTTAAATCCAACTATACGTGTTTCATATTTTGACAGGCATTATTATGCAGTGCATTCATACCGTTCTACTCAGGGTTAATACCACCATCTTATAAAGGAGTTGTAAGTATGACTTGGCTAGCATTGATTGTGTGCATTTGTTCAGACTAGATTGTGTTATTTTGAAATACTGTAAAATACTATATTTTTTGCTGGAATTAATTTTTGCTGAAA